CGAGTCCACGCCTGCTCTACAGGAATTTTTCGTAAGCCGACCATCCCAAGTCTTAATTCTCTTTCACCACGGGTACTGGCCGTTCAGATAATGCTCCTATGGCCCGGGCCAAGCGATGAGGTTGTAGACGTGGTTAAAAGAGGCGAGTGATGGGTAATCACTGGGTGAAGAGCATCACGGTATCCGAGTGAGGCAGAGAGCCTGCACCGGGCCAAGGGCGATATACATAGATGTGCGTGTGTGTTTACAGTTGGGTTGTCAGGTGCTTGAATGATGCTGAAGTGCCCGATCCGAAGAGCAAGTAGTGGACATTGTGGAAGCTGCGTCTGCAGAAGCAAAGCCCCTAAAAGACAGATGCATACATATGCATATATGAAAACTCTTGACTGTCTTTAGCTCGTTTGCCGGTGGAAGCATGTACAAATACGATCGCTTCTTCGAGTCTGATTATTCTTCGCTGCGAAAATCAAAATTGCATTTGAGTTGAGCTCGAAAGTAAGTGAAATTGCTTTTGCAGTAATACAAGGTGACACTCCCTATTTGGAGTACTAGAATTGCAGTTGCTTCGCGTGGGGATATAAAGGAAGTAAGAAGTGAGCAGACGAAACTTGAGGAATGAATGAAGGCATTGTAGATAATCAAGTATGTACATGTATTTGTATAAAATGGTCAGAAGAGGCGTAAAATATAGACTACATGCCTAAGAGTTTGCGTCAGACGGAAAGGGATAAAGGCGGCTAATCGACTGTTTTTACACAATGTATAGGATTGGCAAGTCTATATGCATACATAAATGCCATGTATACTCATGCGCACACAAAGATATGACTAGAACATGGAAGGCAAGTAAGGCTTGTCCTACGAGAGGATTGCTTTGCTGGCCAGTTGATGCTGCGTCTGGAGCTGTATTCTGCGTAAGTGTCAGGACATCGGGGGCGGTTTGAACGAGAGGAATGGAAGCGTGCGGGGCAAGGCCAGTGTAGATCAGGAAATTGGAGTTATAGAGTAGGCGGTGGGATAAACAAAGGTTCGAGGCCCGCCAAAACAGCCATCCGCCGATTGGGGCACGAGCCTTGTCCGATACGTCCGTAAGTGTGGAGCCAGGCCAGATCGCTCTTTAACCAAGCTTCTAGTTCCGCACGAAACTGACCAGTTGGCTGAAAAGAATCGGAACTTAGTGACCGGGCGCATACGTCACGGGAGGGCATCCGTAAAGCCTTGGTTACAGATATGGACTTATCAACGTGAGAGTGATCTTTGAGCAGGATCAACTCCGAATACATCTAAACGCGGCAAGAATGGGTCATCGCCACAGCTACGAAGAGGGCAGGCTACAAGTCGAAATGGCAGTCCAGAAGGAAGCACGACCGATGGTTGTCCAGCCCGGGGCATAGTCTTAGAATTCGGCCAGTAGGAAAGTCTGTGATTCCCGCCTGCAGACCGATGCAACAAACAGTACATGTATCGTAGCACCAACAAAGAACGATCAAATTAGGTACAGGCAACGCTCAGACACACACATGCAAACAGGAAATCAGCAACAAACGGGTACACACTTGCCAGGGGTAGCGCGAACGGAGCGGATTATGAGCACAGGCAAGTTGGGTGCATGCACACGTAGGAGAGGTGGGATTTGGAGAGTGTAACGTGTGTCAGGAGATCTTCTAACCGTTCGAAAGCCGATTCCAGACCTTGTCAGCCCAAGGGGCATTTATTCGCCTCATCACGGCTTGGAAAAAGTGCCGACGGCGTCGCGAGCTCTCGGATAAAAGCTGAGCATAAAAATCGAGCCGAAAATATGTGCCTGCAAAAGTGAATAAATAAGCAGACTGAAAGTGTGGAATGAAGAGAAGTCTACCGCCAAAAAGTAGACATTTTTGCAACCTTTTGAAAATGCCCAAACTAACCACATCACAATCATTGGGAGATTTCTATTCTGCTTTGCTTCTATCAAAATAGCATGTAAAAGTAACGCTGCGTCAGTGCATTTGCAGAGGTATTTTGCAGGATATACAGGCGAGCGTGTTAACAGGAGCATATACACATTGCTGCGTTAATTAATGTGTGTACATCTTGGTGTGTATGAATTTGTACGAATCTGTGTGAGTGGGTTTTGACGTTGCTAAGGGGAAGTAGGTCGAAGTCTGTCTTTTGCGAATTGGTGTCTATATGCATGTGCATGTATGCATAAAGACATCTTATATATGTATATATATATATGTGTGTGTGTGTGTGTGTGTGCCGGGAAAATCCGCGTTAACTTGCGTAAGTCTAGGCGCCTGCACACGTAGAAACACACAAACAGACGATTATGTAGAGGAAGTGGGCTCAGTCGGGTTGTGCAGCTGAGGCTGCGACAGCAAATGAGCGAAGATGGCCGGTGCACCGGTAAACAGGGCAAAGGATAAAAGGTTAGCTTGAAGCGCAAGTCAATCCAAGATTCGGCAATGCGGCATGTGAACGAGATAGGCTTTCACACGAGGGGTGGCCGCTTTGCAATGCGTCAACTCTAAAAAGCGCAGATTCGGATGTCGAACCAGGGAGATGAGACCGTCTTCGGTTAAACGTTTGCAGCCTTCAGGGTGCATAGGGGGCGCATATGCAAGTGTGTGATGGGGAAGAATGGTGAAACGGAAAAGAAAAAAAGTTAGCTTGCAGTCAAGGCAAGGATAGAACTTCACACCAGATCTGTGTGTCTGTATAACACATTCACATCTTCCATCATCTGTCAGTTATCAACGGCCTGATCGTATTGCCACTTTGCGCTGTCCAACCTGTCTTTTTCCACATCTGAGGTGGTCTGGGCTAAAAGCGACATTCATTTGCCCATAATTAAGAGAACTCATTAAGGCCGTCGGATAAACTCCGATTCTATGTGGTACAGTTTCCTGGTAAAACCACAAGCAGTGGAACACATAAAATAGCTTATCTAAGTTTTACATGGTTACATGAAACTGTTAAAGTGTGAAAAGTTGAGAAGTATGCTTTTTATGCATTGCAACACTTTGAGAAAAATTAAATCCATCTTCTCAGTGACGCCAAGTGCTATGCGACCGTCTGACTGTTGACAGGACCTGACATGCCATCAAAGATAGCCTCGCTTTTTCAGAACAATTCATCAATTTAATGCGGAAGATGGGTCAATGTGTTCGGAGTATGCTCGCTCCTTGTTCGCTAGTGCGCCAATATACTAAAATGTCGAGCTAAATGACTCCAGTTGGATACAGGATTTTTTAGTGAACGACTGGTGCACCCGTATTGGCAAAACGAGAAGACACTCCCATCAGTATGTGTTGATGAGGAATCATAGTCATAAGATGACGCCTTCACGATTGATAGAATTGGTGGTGACAGGGCTTAAAGTGTTGACGATATTATAATCAAAATGAAGCCAGTTGGCCTGATTTATTTGAGCCTAAAGTTATCCATAATTACGAATATGCAAAACTAGCTAATGCAGAATGACTGAATGGATGAGCGAGTGATTATATCAGTTTTTCGAGGCAAAACTTGACCGGGACGGCTCAGTAAAGTAGCTTCAACGCATACTGAAGAAGGATACTGTAAAGTCGTGACGGTTAATTTGCTCGAATATGGTTAGTTTTATTTGTAATGAGATGTATTCATCCGATTTCGTGTAAGGTGATGAAGGACTGGTAGTAGAATTGTGCCACAATGATATGAGTTGAGCTGACGTTTCCATTGAATTTCA